TACTTACCCACCCTCTGCTCTGAGCCGCGCCTTCATCTTGTATACATTTCTCTCATAGAGCCTCTCACGGTGTAGACACATTAATGGTTATTTGTCTGCCCCGGAATATACTCTGACTTCCTTGAATGTAGGAATGTGATATTTTATCTCCCCATTATTAATATAGGTAGCACAGGCCTGATACACAGCACATATTCACTCATTGGTGAAAGAATGACAGTGAATGTTGCTCTACCCTCCCGATCCAGTTTCCTACTCACTCTTTCCAACTACAAATCCTCAGTGTGTTTCCTATGCCAGCCATGTCCGTTGTTGCTCTCAAATTATTGCGAATACAGTTGCTCTTGCCTATAGTATATCTGTCAACTCCTTCATCTATATAAAGTTGAACTTTCTTTACAGCTCTGTTCTCATCCCTCTACTGCTGAAGTATTTCTCAAGTATGACCTCTCACACTGTTATCTTTCTCTGACCTCACATTGCACCACATAGCTTATCCCTCCATAAAAGTTTGGAGTCACTTTCTATCCTCTGTTGCTCAAATATTGTTTTATGTTGTCTCAAGCAGCACTGTCCGTTAGAAATGTCTGTGATGATGAAATATCCTATAGTATAATCTGCACTGCCCAACACAGGAGCCACTGGCCATGTGTGACTTTGAGCACTTGAAATGTGGTTAGGGTGGCTGGAGATCTAAATGTTTAGTTTTAAAATTTTTGATTAATTGATCTTTAAATTTAAATAACCACACATGGCTGGGGGCTGCCATATTGGACAGCACGATTCTAGATGATGTAGCAAAGGGCTTGGCACGCATGCTAAGTCAGTTAACAACACTGATTATCAGGGTGTGTTCAAGAAGTTGACAGGAAAGTGTGTTACCATGAGGGAATGCTTATCAAATACTTGGGAAAATTAAAATTCAAAATAGGAATAAAAAGAGAAGGAATTAAATTCACTGAGAGAATTAACACACTGATTTGAGCAGAAGGGAATTTAGGTGCTATAGATAAAGCAGATAGACTAGGAAGAGCTGTAGATGCAAAAATCCAAACTAATACTGATACCAGAAGGCCAGAGAAATAGCCATTATATATATCAGCTTAACTCTCCTCTAAATTCAGAATATGAGTTAATTAAATAAAGAAGATTAAAGATTAGAATGAATGAAATGCAATAGATTTAATGTAATTACATTTTATTAACAGGATTTCATGAAAACGTTTTATTTAGTGCAAGTTAGATCTTTTGACAACACACTATTATATTTTAATCTCATTGTATTGACTACCAAATT